GTTGAGGAAACTGAGGCAAACAGGTGCAGTGGCTTGCCCAGTGTCCCATGGCTAATAAGCATAAGAGGCTATATTTGAAGTCAGGTCTTCTTGACTCCAGGCCCAGTGCTCTATCCAATGAGCCAAGCAGCTACTTCTTAGATAAGATCAATAGCTGAGACACGATGGAGGTGTAAATGCTCTCTTATCTCATTAACAAAGTAGTATAGTCATGGGGTGGTAGTGTCTCTTCTCCCCTTGCCCCAATCTTGGTCAATTATGTAAGTCAGTCTTTAACAGAGCCTCCAAGGGAAGGGGATAGGAGAAGATAAGCAGCCAATCAGTATTTCCACAGGACAACAGATTACCTAGTACCAGCCTCATTTTTAGGCTTTGTCTTTATAATCTAAATTAGGAGTGGGGAACCTGCTTCCTAGAGGCCACATGTGGCCTCCTAGATCCTTAAGTGCAGCTTTTTGACTGAATCTGAAGATTTGTTCTGTAAAATTTGGATTGGGTCAAAAGGCCCCACTTAAGTATCTAGAAGGCCTCAGGGCCACAGGTTCCCCACCCCTAGCCTAAGCTATTCTAAAATTTTGGCCCTGTTAATCCAGTAAGTGATGGTGTTTGGCACACTTTAGGATTAGTGTGAAATCTTTGCAATGGAGAAACTTCAAGTCACTCCCCAAAGACCCCCAACTCTTTTGAGATTGTAGAGCCAGGCAAATGAACATCACTTTGATCTTGAATAATGCTCACTGAGTTTGGTTTGAGGAACAAGCCTCAGATATGTTGAGCCAGGCCCATCTCATTGACTGCCTGCTAAACACCTCCTTTTGGATGTCTCACAGACATTCCAAATTCAACAAGTGCAAAACAGAATTCATTTTCTTTTCCTTCAAGTCAACCCTTCTTTCTAAATTTCCTATTCCTACTGAGGGTACCACCATCCTCTTCTGTTCTCTCTTTATATTCTTTCATGATAACTTCATCAGCTCCCATGGGTTTAATTATCATCTCTATGCAAATCAATATATCTAACCCCAGTCTGTCCCCTGAGCTTCAATTCCAATTCACCAACTGCCTATTGAATATTTCAAACCAGATATGTCCCAGAGACACCTCAAACTCAACAAGTCACAAGCGGTATTCATTATCTTTTCTCCAAAACCCATCCATTTATCAAATATCCCTTTCCACCCCCCCATTCTTCAAGTATTCTAGACTCATAACCTTTGTGTTATCATCTACTTCACATCCTCCATCTCATACAACCTTTCATTTTTTTTTATTTTGAATTCAACACCAAATAAAATGAGAATTCCCATATGCAAAGCAGACCAGATAATGTGGACTGTATATATACTGTGAATCTCAATTACATACAATTTGCTTTCTTTTACATATATAATAAATTCAGTGCAGTAAACTCAAAACTGTCGTGTTAATCTGTTTCCTCCTACACTTCCTTCTCCTCCTAGCTATGCGTTTTAAATACTTCAATGACCCTGTTCATATATTTATATATTATTGCTTGTCTCCAGTTGTTTTTTTTTAAAGGAAAGACAAAACTTTTTTTAAAAAGCAAATACATGTAGTGAAGCAAAACAAACCCACACATTGGCTATTTCTGAAAAGGTTTTTCTCATTCTACAAATTGAGACCGTCCCTTCACTTGAGAGATTACCCCACCTATCAGATTAGCTGCCAGATCTTTCCATTTCTACATCTATAGCATCTCTCACATTTTAACCCTTTCTATTCACATAAACCAAAACTTAGCACAGTCCCTAAAATCCTCTTTCCAAGACTGTTTTAATGACTTCCAGCTAGTCTTCATTTGTATCCTACTCTTCATGACTTCATTTGGAGTTTTCTTGACAAAGATACTGGAGTGGTTTGCAGTTTCCTTCTCCAGTTTATTTTACAGATGAGGAAATTGAGGCAAAGAGGGTTAAATTACTTGCCTGGGGTCTCGCCACTAGCATGTGTCTGGAGCCAGATTTGAACTCAAGAAGATGAGTCTTCCTAACTTCAGGCCTGGTACTCTATATACTGTGCCACTTAGCTGCCCATGTTAGGGAGGGCAGCTAGGTGGTGTGGTGGATAGAGGACTGGCCCTGAAATCAGGAGGACCTGAGTTCCAATTTGACCTCAGACACTTACTAGCTGTGTGACCCTGGGCAAGTCACTTAACCTTGTTTGTCTTAGTTTCCTCATCTGTAAAATAAGCTGGAGAAGAAATGACAAACCACTCCAGTATCTTTGCCATGAAAACCCCAAATGAGGTCACAAAGAGTGAAACACAACTGAAAAGATGATTCAACTAGTCTTCATACCTCACATTTCTCCCCACTCCAATCCATTCTTCACACAGCTGCCAAGGTGATTTCCCTTAAACAATGATCTATGTTGGCAAACTCCAGTGGCTCCCTAGTGCCTCCAGAATAAAATATAAAGGCCTGTTTATGTAAAGCCCTGTATTGGCCCCAACCCATCTTTCCAGCTTTTGTGATTGCTTCCCTTTCTGCACACTGTCATCCCTACTAGCCGGCTTTGGCTTTATCTCTGTTCTCACCTACCGCATTCCATCTCTCACTTGTTCTTGGAATGTACTCTCTCCCTCCACATCCGTGCTTCACATACTCCCTCTTTTCCTTCAAAATGAAGCAAAGCACCAATTGTTCTAGAAAGCTCTTCTTAACCCTTCCAGTTCCCTATTATATTCATTTTGCATTTATTCATTATTTAGTCACTTAGGAATGTGTTGTATCTCAAGAAAGAATGTCGACTCCTGAGAGTAGAGATGGTTTCTTTTCTTTTCTTTTCTTTTTTTGCATTTGTATCTGCAGTGCCCAGGAGGAGCTGAATATATATGTTCATTGATTGATTAATCCATCCTTCTCATCACCCAGGCTGTGGAGATACCCTTGACTCAGCTTGTCTCCCCCATAGTCAGTTACTAAGTTTTGTCAGTCTGTACATCTCCCACATCCAGTCACTTCTCTCCAATCACACAATCACTACCCGGATTTAGAGCTTCATTAACTCTCATTGGACTATTGCAATAACCTCCTATAAATAGTTCTCCTTGATTTCCATTTTCTCCTCTCTCCAATGCACAGTTGAAAACTTGATATCATAGGATTGTAGATTTAGAGCTGGGAGAGGCCTTAATGGTCATTGAATCCCCCTGATTTTACAGATGAGGAAACTTTGACTCAGCAATTTCAGTAGTAGGTCTATTTCCAAAGATGATTAGGGAAAAAGGAAAAGAAACTATACATTCTAAAATGTTTATAGCAGCTCTTTGTGGTGGTAAAGAACTGGAAATTGCAGGGATGCTATCAATTGGGGAATGGCTGAACAAGTTATGGTATTTGGTTGTGATAGAATACTCCTGTGCTATAAGAAATGATGAGCTCATTGATCTTAGAAAAACATGGAAAGACTTGCACAAAATAATGAATAGTGAAATGAGCAGAACCAAGAGAACATTGTATACAGTAACAGCAATATTGTTTTAAGAATGACCTTGATTGAATAAGTCATTTTGACCATTATAAATACCCAAATTAACTATAAAGGGCATGTGAAGAAAGACACTATCTGCATCCAGAGAAAGAACTGATAAATAGAAGTATATATAGAATAATTTTACATACATATATATATACACACACACACATATATATATACCTATTTGTGTCTAATGGTAGCTATCTCTAGGGTGGGGGGGGAGAAAAAAAGGGAAAAAATAAATTCACATAACTATTATATATTTAAAAGGAATAGCAAGTTGTGCATAATAGATTTGCAGTTTCATGTGCAGTCATCTTTTTTTTATACTGTGTTATGGAAATGCTTGTTTTATCCCATAAATTAAAAATAAAATAAATAAAACACATACAAAAAAACCTTGGTCAAATTAACTGACTTGCCCATGGTCACAGAGGCAGTATGTATGTGAGGTGCAATGTGGGTCTTGGTTTTCCTGGCTCCCAAGTTCAGTAAGGTATCCACTACACCCACTCTGTATCTTACATAGCACTCAAGCACAGGCCAGATCGTGTCACTCCTCTGCTCAATAACTTTACATGACTCCTTCTTGCCTCTAGGATGAAATACAAGCTCTTTATTTAAAAAACCTTTCACACTCTAGCTCCAGCCTACCTTTCCCAACTAATTTCATATCATTCCCCCTCAGACTAGGGGTGACCCATAGCAGGATCTTAATGAAAATCCCAAGTCTGTATTGACGGCACTCATCTGCACATTTTCTCATGAAATCTCTGCAGTCTGTGTGTAGAAATAAATGTCTGGGAGCCCATTCTCATGTGTGTTTTTGGATGAGTGGTCCTTGTACATTCCATCCCCCTCTCTCTTCTGCTCTCTTCCCATTTTTTTCCTCCCCTTCAACTAGGTCTAGTGTCCATTTTTAATCCTATCTTCTGCTTGAAGAAAAAAAAAAAACCCTTCATTTATTGGTAAAGGCCCAGGTAAAATCTACTCAAGAAATTAAATTTGTATGTTTTGCTGATTAAAATATAAATTATCTTGAAAACAAAAACAAAGGTCCACTGCCTGTTCTCCACGCACAACATTCTATCTCCTGCCTTCTTGCTTTTGTACCAGCTCTCTCCTATCCCTAGAATTCTCTTTTTCTCCCTTCTACCTCTTGGGCTCCCGAGCTTCCTTAAAGGCTTGGCTGAAGTTATCAACTCTTATACCAGGTCTCTCTCTCTTCCTTCTAGTGCACTGCTCTGCACTGGAGAAATTGTGTTAATTTTGTATACATTTTTAATTTACCTATCGCTGTACATGTTATATCCCTTCAAGAGAGCATAAGCTCCCTGAGAACTGGCCTCTGTCTCTAGCATAGTACCTGGTACATGGTGCCAATACAATGCTAATTAAATTGAACCAAGTTAAGTTGAATGGGATGGTAAAGGACTATAAGAGTAATGAATGGTGAAACTTTGTGGTTTAACTGATTTTTACCATTTTTTTTTTCTCTATAGGCAACTGATTGAAGGAACAAGAGTTCTTCAAATCCTGGAAGTGGCAGACACACTGAATGAAAGACCAGTATATACTTGTAGAATTATCGACTGTGGTAATTATCGCTGATAACATAAAGACCAACATTTCCTTCTCTAGTTTACTATTACTTTTCTTATTATCTCTTTCTAGATTTTAATAAATGATTTTGGGAAAAAAAATAAAACTGGGAGCCCAATTTATTTATTTATTTATTTTTTGGGGAGCCCAATTTATTTTGGAATCCCAAAATGTTCACCGTAAGTAAATAAGGCATTCTGTCATTTGTGTTCACGTTGAGCTTACCTTTATTAAGCCTAAATGAAAAAGAAACATGGCAGTACACAACCATATGGAAGAAATGCATTCAGTTAATTGTTTCTTTAGTTCCAGGGGAGAGTTTTCCACTGTTTGCTTATACTGAGAATTAGCTCAATTAAAAGGAAATCTCTAAGCCATCCCTAAAAAAGTATGTTATTTACAAAAATTGATATTTTGTAGTGCCCTACATAAAAAACAATTACAGGTACTCTTGGTACAATTCATCAGTGGCAGAGAAAACTTGTCATTGGAAAATGTACCCTACATCAAGCATATTTTTTATTATTATGAATGGACTAATGAATTTGCCCAGGTAAAAGGATACTTGAAGCCAATTACTTGGCAGTTTTAACAATAACCCGTTACCCCGAGTAAGCAGTACAGCTGTGACAGCCTCACATTCCTTAGTATCGGCCCAATTTTGTCCTTTCTTTCTGTATAGAACCTTCAGCTATTGGTTATTATGAGTGAAAAACAGTTCACATGACCAGTTAGAAACAGAGTAAAATTTCTCTCTTGTAATGATTTTTCTATGTAATTTGGAGAAATTAGTTTGTAAAACACAAAATTTTGAACTCAAGAGTACCTACTAAGGAATGTGTTTTATTGATAGGAAAATATTCTTCTGAGCTCAAGATAATTTCAAATTAAAAGGTTCTGTAATTTCCCTAAGCCCCCCCCAAATTTCTGAAAAAAAATCTGTAAATATGAAAAGGATTCTGATGACTTATAGATGATTTCAAATTTCTGAAATTCTAATTAATGTTTGGTTACCAAGTTGGTGGGGAAGGGGAGGAAGAGACTTTTCCCTCCCTCATAATGATATATTGTGTACTCCTTTCTGGTGGCTTATGTGTTACTAGGATAAGTTAGAGGACTTAAAGGGCTACAGCTAGATAGGATCACAGACGCCAGATAGTCCATCACCCCCATTTTCTTTTTCTTTTCTTTTCTTTTTAAGATTTTTTTTTGAAAATTTAAATTTATTTATTTTTAGTTTTCAACATTCACTTCCACAAGATTTTGAGTTCCAAATTTTCTCCCCATCTCATCCCTCCCTGGGATGCACTCCCATACGGCATGCATTCTGTATACCCCTTCCCCTAATCTGCCCTCCCTTGATTCAAAGATTTCTTAACTAAGGTTTTGTAGTCTTGTAGCTTTTAAACAACAGGTTATCCATTAACACGTAATGGAATTAAATCACATTTTAGCCACCAGGGGGCAATGATGCCCCAATCTGATAGTATTCAATCTAAGAACTAGGCACCGCCAAGTCCCATGCGAAATAGCAGTTATGTGCTCCCCCAGAGGGAGCTCTCAGAAAGTGCTAATTTTTATGATGCCTATGTTTACCATAGGGACATATGGTTCTCATGATTCCCTTGGTACTGATAATCTCTTTCTCCCAGCTCTGCCACTTTCTGAATGGCGGCACTTAGCTCCACTTAGTAAGGTAATAGCTTCCAATGTTTTCTTTGTTCCATGAACCCGTTTCAATAACAAAAATGTGTTGTGAACCCCAGAGTAATTTAATATACTATTTATATTATTTTAGATTTATTAATCAATTTCTTATAATAACTATGATAATTTTTGCACATCTAATCACTCCAAATTGCTGCAAGAGCATCCTATGATGCTTCAAATATGCATCTGCTGTTTGTCACAGAGGGAAAATATATTTGCAATGTAATTAAGCAATTATTTACTGCTTAAGGTAAATAATTTTTAGCTTGACTCTTATACCACCATTGTGAACCTCCAAAGGGGTCAAGAACACTAAATGGGAAACACCGCTCTAAGGAATCTAGTCAATGTAGTTTTATTCAATCAGAATAACTGAATCCCTGCAAAATTTTTCCCTTTTTCCCTAAATCTGCTGAATTTCATTGAACCTTAGTCACTTGAACAGGGTATAATGAAATCAGCCACACAAGAAGCAGAATTACATGCCACTATAAAGTTTTAATTCATAGGCAAAAAAAAAAATCAACAAAAGAAATAAAACCTATGTAATATCTCCTCTGGGATACTCTGTCCAATTTAGAACTCATGGGTTTGCAAACTGGTTTTCCAGTAGGGTGACTATATCAAGGTTCTAGGTATAATCCTTTGGGTTTATACTTCTAAAACTATGTGGTTCATAAACCCTAACTTGTTTAGCCAGTGGACACAATTGGCTCTTTTTTTAGCAAAGGCATTTACCAAATGTCATAATAAAATAGGAATTTCAACAGTATTCCTTCCATAATCCTGTGGTATACTCTCCCACAATCACATATGGCATCCATGGAAAAAGTGGGCATAGAACAGTGGTAGTGAGGCACAAGTATAGTATGTGTGTATGACAAAGGCAACCCACAGCCCCTACTCTACTGCAGAGCCTAGAAATCCTTTCTTTCTTCATAGGGTCTTCCCATAGCTTTCCTTAGGTACAGTGTCTTGACTGTGCAGGTTGCTCCGCTGTGTTCCAGGGTCTGCTCCTCTCCACAGCTCAATTCTTAACTGGCAGAACTAGAGGCAATTGGCTCTCTTCTCTGCTTCCAAGTTCCCAGGGCCAGCTTCCTCAAAGCAGCTTCCTTCCACAAGTGACTAACTTTTCTACATTTATCTAGACTGTGATCTGCTCTCTCAATTATTCCTTGAACTCTCTCAAACTGACAAATTTTCTAACATCTGGATGATGTGTCTCCCTCTTGGCAAGTACCTGTTAGATACCATAACTGATGGGGAAGAGGGAGGAGAAGAAGAAAATTCCCTCCTCAACCCCACTGCACAAATCTCACTCCACAACTACTCCCAGCCTTTACCTCCAGGAATTCCCTAGAGCGTAGCTATTTAAAGCTTCCAGGGGTGTGGTTAATTTTTCTTTAACCAATCAGTTCCCTTTCCACTCAATCAGAAAAGTGCTCACACCTTATAAAGGGATCATTAGGTAAGGGAGCAATTTTATAGTTAGTTGAACAACTTTTGTTAAAGCCTCATCAGCTGTTTCTAAATCCTGTGACTACATTAATGGAGGGGAGAAGGAGGAAGGATTATATTCTTTCTTTCTCTTTTTAAACTGAATGCCCTATAATTTTAATAACCAAACTTGTTCTCAGACATGAAATAAATAAATATACTTTCCTTGAAGAGGTAAAGGGATAGGTGAGCAGATATTTCTCTCTCTCTTTCTCTCTGTCTCTCTCTTTCTTCAGCTTTCAGCTACAACATGGCTATGCCTCTCTTGGGCTCTGACCACCCTTGATTCAGAGTTTAAGAAAACCACAGTTTCATTGTTTAGCCCTCTGTTCCCCCATCTTTTTTTTTAAAATAAGCCTTTATTAAGCAACTAATATGTGTCAGACACTGTGCTAAGCACTTTACAAATATCTCATATGATCCTCACAAAAACCCTGGGAGGTAAGTGCTATTATCATTATCATCCCTATTATATAGTTGAGGAAACTGAGGTTAAGTGACTTGCCTAGGGTTACATAGTAAGTGTCTGAGTCCAAATTTTGCTTTAGTTCTTCCTAATTGTGGGCCCAGCATTCTATCCACAGCATCAGCCAGCTACTCTTCCCCTATTCTGAGAGAAAACAATGGCGTTCATGAAATAGAACAGTTCCCAAATGCTGTTCCTCTCCCAGCCTCCTGTGTCCTTGAAAACTCACAGCACCTCCCAGCTTCACCGATGCATCTCTGTCATTTCTGAGGCTTGAGCTACCCTCTGGCTCTTTCCTCAGCATCTTCCTTTTGTGTGCACCCCCAGCCTCAGAGACTTTATGAGCCAGCATCAGCTAAGATGTGGAGCCTACCTGTCAAATGATTAATGCTTGCCTATTAGAGCAAATTTAGAATATTAATGCAAATAAATGATCTCTCTCCACTTCTGAGACATCATGCCTCAGGAACCAGCCTAGAATGACTACAGTCCCAGCAGTCACCCCCCTACTAGAAAAGTATCATCAATAGACATTACCTGAGACCTCCCTCCTCCCTCCCACTACCCCGCCTCCCACCCATGGTGGTCAGTATGCATATCCTTGTAGAGTGGAAAAATCTCTGAAGTCAAAGCATCTGGGCTCAAATCCCAGCTTTGCCCCATGTGGACTTGGACCAGTCTTTTCAGCTCTCTGAGCCTTAATTTCCTCATCTGTGAAAGACTGCTAACCACTTTACAAAATTCAAGGCTCAAATGGATTAATCTACGTGAAGTTCTCTATAAAGCACTTGGCAAGCTATAAAAGGCTATAGAAATGGGAGCTATGCTGGAAATGACGTCCCAAGTTAACTGTTTTCACATTCTTTTTTGTTTCTTTCTCTCAGTTAATTCCTCCCTACTTCAATGTTTCAAAGATCTATGATTTCAAAAAATGGCTGGGTCCCACTGGTGATTCACACTGCAATCCCCTAGTCTTAAAGAGTTATTGTGGTTGAGTCAAGTCAACAAGTGTTTATTAAGCACTTACTACTCAAGAGGCACTGGGTTAAGCTCTTGGGATAAAAAGAAAGGCAAAAGACAGTCCCCTGCAGCATGGCCTCTGACTATCTTTTCTACATATTGCCTCTCAACAAATAAAGAGTTGCCTTCTATAACAGGAAATCCTTTTATAGGATTGTCCTGTATTTCTCTTTCACGTTTTATGCATAGCATAATAGTAGTAAAACAAAAAGTTTAAAACTTTTAGAAATTATAGCATGTTTTTAATTAGATCATTAGATCATTAGGATCATGATTGGAGGATTTGTGTCAATATGAAATGGGGATGGCCAAGAAATTCAGTCATGGGTGAAAATATCAGGGCAGAGGGAATCAGGAAACACAGAAGCATGAGTAAAAAGAAAATTTAAAAAAAA